GTAGGCTCCTGTGACAACCTCATAACAGGGAACCCATTATCATGGTTTTTACTCATTTGTACCAAGTTTCCTTGGATGATAGGCCAAGGTCACACAGCTGGTTACACATTGGTTCTGGGACAAGGCAAGTCTTCAAGCTTGTAATTCTGTGAACTGCCTCTTTATCTCTATTGTTTCCAAACTATTGCAGGAAACATGGGTGTATTGTTAGATTCTGGTAATTGATCAAATTGGTAGGCTTCTATAACTCAAATTAAGGGGATCCATGAAAGTAACAATCATCAAAACAATTTAAAATTAAGTAACAATCTCCATTTTTGTGGCATGAAAATCCCAAAAAGTCCCAGGGATTTCCATCCCTTACTCTGGTCATGCGGGGTTTAAACTTAGATTGCATTTGGCACTGGGAATTTGTATTATTATGTATGTTTTTGTTTGGCTATTGTACGCCTAAAGACATGCTTTCTAGTACTGGCTTTGCCGCCAACTGGCTCTACGGCCCTTGACGGGTCATTTGACCTCACTGTGCCTGTATTACCTCCTTTGTCAAGAGTTGACTTCAAGTGTCCTTCTGGTACTACAATTTTATTGATTATATTTCTCCAAATAAATTGTAAGCTTCCTGAGGTGAGAATGGCACCTCCTTCTATCTTCTGGATTTGCCACATTGTGGGCATTTAATAAATGTTTGATGATGGCATTGCATGACTTATTGGCACACTTAAGTTGAGTAGAGTTATAGGAAAGTATTATTGACCACCTTATTAACAATTAAGCTGTCTATAAGCTGCATATGTAATTTTCCTTTACATCAATAGAGCTTCTGTTTCTGGTGAAGATGAAGTATTGCCCCTTCACATCAGTTCTTTTGCATGTTAATACATTAGCAACTGATATCTTATTTGTATTAAAACTGACAGAACAATGTAGAGAAAGCATATAAGTAGGAAAAAGGGTTAGTAAGGTAACATTGTATAGGGCATTTTCAAAACAACAGTTCTGCTATTTCAAATGTCAAGCTAATTATCAGCAATGTTTAAATGCTATGATAGGCCATTTTTGCAAATGCTGAAATTTTCCAGCAGGTATGGACATTATAAAAATGTCAAATTTTGCTACTATTCTATTATATCTCATCAGGACACAACAATCTGAAAATAAAAGTTATATGTATAGGCAAGGAAGTTAAACCATTATTTGTTTTGCATATGACTGTAAAATTAATTGGCATAGTGATATAATTTAGAGTATTGTTTACTTGGAAGGAAGAATAGAGAGGATTTAATATAATGTAATCTGGTGAAGTGCAAATAATGCTCATTATAGATAAACTATAAAGCCTTTTAAATATAGGCTTTTAGTAATGCATATACAGATATATCTTTCCAGGCCCATTTGCTGTAAAGCAAATTTAAGTATCAGCTTTATGCCCTTTGGTAACCCCATATTATACATCCAGTTTTAGAGAAAATGAAACTTTAATATGATTCCACATAAAATGGTGAGCCATGCCAATAATTCATATGCCCTTCATATGCAAATAGTTTTATCTTATCCATCAATTATCATGTAAACATAGTATCACATGGCAAATTTCCCTGCAATACAGTACAGTACCTGTATATAATTATGGGTGCATTTTGCCAATGCAACTGTTACACAGAATTGTAATTAATTCCTCTGAAGACTACTGTGAGAGTTTTGGATACTGATGCTGTTTTTGGACATTTATTACTGCTCTTTAGTTGGCTTTTTGCTGTGCCTCAGAGACAGATGTAAAATTAGTGTCTATTTTGAGCCAGCAAACAGTACATCTTTCCTCTTGTTTATTGAATTGCAGAAAGGAATTCTTTGGGCTCCCACTTCTTTGTGGTTTTGAAGTAACCGTCTGTTTTCGTGCCAGCCATGTAGCTTCAATACATGTATAAAATTTTGCTGAGACTCACGCAAAGGGTGGCTTATTTGACCTGTAAGGACTGAACAGAACTTTGCTATGTTACGTGGGAACTTCCATATTTTCAAATGCTGAATTAAAAAATAGGTATCATAAGTTCGGAAACAGACACTGGCCTAATATATTCTGCCCAATGACCCTCATTTAAAACCAGTATACGTTGGTTATTATACAAAATTGAATCTCTTCTTTGCAGAGACAAAGCTACATTATTACAATCTCTTCTGCCAATGGTGATGAGGGTGGGCAAAACATCAAAACGGGTCCAAATGGGAAAATGAGCCTAATTTTATTTCATAATGTAAATGGGGCTAAACCCGTCAAGTATTGGCCATTCTATAGGAAGAATATTTTATGGAGAAAATTTCCACAATACTTATACTAAACAAATCTACTGACTAGACTTGAAAGAACATTTTAAAGGAAAATCCTGGAATTTAGAAGTAGGGGGATGAGGCAGGGATCAGGAAGTGCAAAGTCCATCTCAGTGCATTTAATTTTGATTGTCAGGTGGTCAACCAGAAAGAGCAGAATGAGATCTCCTCG